CGTCACGTACATTTTAAAATTCAGAGACAAAGAGAGAGAGAGAGAGAGAGAGCGAGAGAGAGGAGAGAGAAATAGAGTATCTGTGTGTGTGTCTGGTCATGTGTGTGGGTGTGTGTGTGCGTGTGTGTGTGTACACTAATACTAATAAACGTGGATGAAACCCGCTTTTTCATACTACTAATATACCGGTAAATCAGTGGTGGTAGCATTCCTACATTGAATAGAGGAACCCAGCACCATCTGGAGTGTGGTAGAGTTATGAGTGTTCACGACAAGTGCAGTGCTCATCGGTAGTGGATGTCTTTGCTCAATTGGGTTTTAGGAATTCACACCATTGTCGGTAGAAAGTCTTTGCTCGTTTGAGTTTCAAGAATTCACACTATTGGTGGTCGAAGGTCTTTGCTCAATTGAACATTAAGCAAAGAAACCACACCAGAGCCCCCTGTAGTCAAGTGGCATCATAACTTAACGGGAGTCTTGCAATAGGTTAATAAACCTGAGCAACGAGAAACTATGGATATTACTGGAAAGTAGACCTAGTATGCTCCCCGTCCAAATCCAAGAATCCAAGATGTATCAGATCTTGTATTCCCAAAAATTGGTTCCGAAACAGTTAACTGAAGGCGGAAAACCAAGTGAAAAAAATATTTCACAAAAGGTTTTCAATGAGAATAAAGATCACATATGCGTAAAATTCGGTGGTTCGTGCGCGGCAAAAAGAAATTTGACTATTCGATAAACAGCGATGGAATTGCTGTGTCCAAGAAGAAGGATACCAGCAATACACAATCGGGCACCAGTCGATTGGACATCATGGGTGGGCAAATTCAAAAGATTGGGAGGTACAGATTCAGGCATGCGGAACTGGAATACCACAACAATACATGAAATTGATACTTGCAAAGAAGTATGTGTTGTACAGAAGGAGGGAAGTTTCTAGCCTAGCATATAAAGAGAAGTGTTTTCAAATCATTCTTGTGCTGTAATTGAGGTATGAACCTTCAAATGTGTCGTCACAAAAAATTAGGTTGATATCTCTTATAGAGAGTTTTCTACGTTAGTCAATTGATTGCTATAGAATAAAAACAGCGTATGGAAAGGTTGCATTTCAAAGCGAAACACCGCCATACAAAATACAGCAAAAAATGTATGTAAAAACAAACTTTGGTGTGCGACCGTATCATACGCTGTATTTATTCTAGAGAATTCAATTGGTCATCACCTCGAAATCCTTGGAAATTTTTATAAAATCGAGAACCGCATTTTTCATATTTGAAAAAGTGAAATACTAGCTAGAGGCCGGCCTCAATAAATGCAATAGATGGTGAATTTGAATCGAGATTCAGGTGGTGACAATGCTCTTCCAAATATTCACTTGCGAGCTGCCATGCGAAGACAAGCGTTTTTCCATTGTAAGTATCATTTGATTTTGAAAACAGTTTTTTGCTTCAGGAAGTGTGACCATCAATCGATGCGTTGTATAAATGCCATTTATTACCATAGAATTTTGCCTACTTTGAACTAATAAATACCATTTTCTATTTACAGATATGGGAAACACCCTATGTATGAACAAAAATAGAAATACCTCCATGATAATACAAAATACTGGTGATTGGGTGCAAACACCTCTGTAAAATTATTAAAATAATTAATACAATTTTGTGTCTGATTTAGCAAACACCTTAAGTTACTTACTTGAACTTAATTATGTTCTCGTGATCCAGTCGTCGCAAATGTTTGATATCCGTTTCTTTGTAATCTCTGACTTTTTTTACGGCTACAATTTCATTTCGTAGATATCCACTGAATACAGTGCCCTGCACCGATTGATTAAGTTAGTAATATAAGTAAGTAAGTAATAATAATAATAATTAGTTTTCTTACCTGTGCACCGGATCCAAGCCACTCAAGGTTTGATATCGACTCAAACTGAATTTCCCAATCTTCGATAACTTTTGGTTTAGTATCATTGGAATTTGCTTTGACGAGAAGTGATACTACCGGCCGCATACATCCTAATAGTCCATCCATCCATCCAATGGGTTTATTGATTCCAAGTGGAGACAAATTCGGTGACCACTTTACATTACAACCAAGATTCGGTGGTGAATCTGAATTATGGGAGGTGCCATGTACATTTATAATATTATGTGATGGTTGTGTTGTTGAGTTTTGGTTCTCCCCATCGTTTTGTTTAGTTTTGAGTGTATTTTGATCGCATTGAATGCATGCCATGCTGCAAAATAAATTATTAATGAATTATTCATACAAAGAAATTTTTCATACACAATAATCTATACATAAAGTATAAAAATGAAAAGACTGTTCCTATAAGACCTGAGTTACCTTAGTTTGCCGTTTTTAGCAAATTTATTTGAGACGTCATTTTGAGACCAAAAGGATTTATAAAACACCATTTTGAACTATTATTTTGAAACACTCTCCAAAATTAAATATTACAATTAGTAATTTATCAATGATTTCATAAGAAAATGCGAACTATGCATGTTTTGTTTTACAAAATATTTACTAATCTCTGGAATATTTCAAAGATGTTATAAACGTATTTCAAAAGTCTATGCTTTTTATTTTTTTATATTATTTTTCATGATATTGTTTTAGATGGAATTATTTCGTAATTTTGCATTATTTTTAACTTTATAAGCAGTTTTTACATCATTTTGTTCCAAAAATCGTATAATTCGATTCCCACATAAAATTTTACTCTCGTAAAACACACTTCAATAAAGAATTTTCAAAGCTTAATTGTATCTTTTTTACTTTGAACAATTTTAAATATGCGACCACTGAAACCAAGAGCTATCGGAATTGTTAACAATTTTTAAAATTATTATATTTCATAAAGAAAAGTTTTTGATTGAAAATACTATAAATAAGAATTGCATGAAGAAGGGTTTATTTATTGACAGCTACACTGTAAAGCGACATCTTTGACAGCTATCATGTATATGTTTCATGTATAGCTTAAAAGCTTTTAATTAATTTGTCCGAATGGGGCTGGGAACTTTTTTAATTCTTTTTTCCTAATAAAATTGTAACTTCCATAAATTAACATCCAAATTCTTATTTAAAAAATATGATCATATTATTATCCTGGAATATTATTTTATTAATAAAACATCTTTTTATCTATAGATGAAACAATATACCTTAGGCTGACCAATTCTTTCTTTATATTTATTAGTTGCTTCATCGTCAGCGAACAACACAAAATGGTCAAAAAAAATTATGCTGATGAGTCACTTTATGCTACACGGATTTTCCAGGAAATGCCAAAATTTATATTGTATATATATTCCATGTGTAGCATACTTACTTCTTACTAAAATCAAACTTTCCCATAATTGTTTCTTTCGTATATCTTTCTTTAAGTATATGAGTTGAGATTTGAATGAATGATTGAATATTATTATTCAAGTTTCCCTTTTTCGGTTTCGTTTCCCTTTTATTATTAATATTTCTATAAATTGAATAAGCGTTAAAGAGTGAAGCTTACCTCGATTATTTGTATAGTTGTACTTTTATTTACGTTCACATGTGCTTTTAAAATACACTTCAGCAGCATAAATATTGGAATATTTATTAGATACAATTATTCTTGTTCAAGGTTCTAAATAACTATTTTATTGATAATCATGTAATCATAATATTTGAACTTAAAACTTTGTTAAATTGTTGAATATTGCCACTTGTTTTTTTTATTTTTAACCTAGACTGAAACTCGGCAGGGAACTTTTTTAATCTTCACAACTGTATATTGTATTGATAGTATTAGCAAAACAGTTTCTTATATCATAATGAAAAACTCATTTTTGTATTGATTTTCCCCATTTTTTTACTTAAAAATGTTGTTTCTATGTCAAGTTTCGTTGTAGATTCAAGAAACTGTGATTTTTTTTATTTATTATATTTTCAAACAATGAAGTTACACGTTTCTAACGTGTACAGAATGCACTTTTTCATAACAATCTTCTTTTACTTTTGTTTTCTTGTGCTTATACATCGCTTACCAACAAAACGGTGTCCGCAATGGTAATGTGTACAGACAACATCATCCATGATATGACCAACATGTGTAAGTATTTGTGTTAAAAATCAAAATGGCGCGATTTGATTACACACATTATTATATTGGATATTTCTTTTCTTGTTTTTTTAAAACCTTCTAAATATATTCAAGTGTCTATGTAATCAAGATTTTTTTTTTACAAAAATACGAACGGAGAAGTACACTTTCAACAGAATACAAACCATGTTGGAACAAGAGTTGTTGTTTTCATTTTTTAACAAACGACTCTTAGACCATCTGCGCAATCTATTGTACGTATTTCGAAATAATTTACCAACTTTAATGATACTGAAATTTTCATTAATGGTAAATGATACGTATCTGCATATGATAATAAGTTGATATCATTCTTGGAAGGTATCTTATGAATTTGTGTCATAATCAACTTGATCGCTTTCTGTCGATATTCTTCTTGAATAAAAATAACGTGGCTACTTTGTTTAGGGGCTTACTCCTTTATTATTTCTAATTTAATTCTCAATATTCGCATTTGTGTATCGAAAGAACTGACAACTATTTAGATTATGATCTCGATGCATTTTTCAAATTAGCAGCAAATGTTTTTTAAGCTGTTTTGTTCAAGCCCCTTGTCCAAACTAACTTTGGTAAAAGAGAAACACACATACACATGTACGCGTACATCGCGATCACTTGGCAAAATTCACATCAATATACGAAACGGCCCGTGAATTAAACTCTCAACATCACAGCTAACCATACAATAAAAATCCCGTCCAAATAAGAAAAAATCAAAAGAGATTGGATGAATAAGTCTGCACAATACATTTTAGAGTTGGTTGTAGTATCAAGTACATTGTGTTCAAAGTTTTACTGCTGCCATTGCATGTTTTTTTTTTGCTATGAACAACGTAACAGTAGTTTCATTCTGAGTTAAGACAGAACCAAATCAGAGCTTTCATCATATTGTATTAAATGTATTTCTTTACAAGTTTTATATAAAAAAATTATATTATTTTAGTGCTTACGGAAAATGTTAAATAAATTTGAAAATAATTATTTTTAAAGAGACGTAAAAATTTGAGCTGAAGGTGCAAACGTGAATAATTTGAATAAATGGTTGATGTTTTGTTGCAAAGGTGTTTCTCGCAAAATTGGTAAGTCAATATACCAATTTATGAAACAAGAAAACGTTTGAATTGATCTTCTTTTAATATCCACTAATTTTTCAATGTTTAAAAATTGTTGACAAATTTAAGTGAGTTTGGACATTAAAAAAAAACAGACCTACAAAAATTATAATTAGATTTGAAGAATTATAGAGAGTAGTTATGATAATTTTTATGTTTCATGGTTCATGGAAAAACGATATTATCATATTCAATCAATATCTCAGGTAATTTAATTTTCCCGTTTTTCGGAAATTCTTCCATATATGTTGTGAGAGACCAGGAACAAATTAATTGGGTGAAATGATGATACGAATTTCTCATCCAGATAGTACACTAAGCAGAATGTGTATTAACACACCAAGATAAAGCGATATTCAGTACACAAAACAACTGTGATGAGCCAGCCGCACATCAACATCGTCTAACACCAATAGTAAATTGAATTTCACTATTTTTATTGAGATTTATGTGCGAAATTCACACAGCATGATCGTCAAGATGCATTTTTGAAGACGATTTTTAAAGTTATTTGACCCATTTTAACAATCCAATCCCTTCTATATTATTCTTATTTGCTTGGAAACGCTGAATTTAATGAATTTAATCAATCGAAAGAAGAAATAAAAAATTCTTTTTGTATGAGTTAGCCAACGCAAGATTTTTGTGAGTAGTGTAGTTGGTTTTTTATGTTATTTTCATTTTGTGAAAGTCATTTCAAAATGCAATGAGCATTCGAGCGAGCTCGCTCTACGTATTCACAGCATACACATATGTAAGCATACATACTTACATCTATACATAAATGCAAACATTCGGAACACATACATTTTTGAAACTTTTATTTTCATAATTTACCTATCTTCAACAAATATGGTGGTTGAATTATAATTTTAAGTTAGAGATATTTTGTATTTTATTTGAAAGACAAATAGTTTTTTGCATATATAATCTATAGACTTTATAACTACTATAGTACAAAGAAACAATTTTCGAAAAATGCCTACTTTTATTCTTAGAAAAGTTAAATGCTCCAAATCATGATAACCAAACGAACCATAAGAATGCTTCCTGATGAAGAAAAACAGAAATAGTAAACTATTAAAATCAAACACTGTGTGAGTGCGTTGTGATCATTTACCGTAACATAACCATTTAACACACGCTTCTTTTTGTGCACAAACACTCATTTATTGAACTAATTTCTTTTCTTCATACATCTTAGTATGGCGTTTCTTTCTTCAAAGTAGAGAATAAATGTAAAGCTCGACGAGTAATGTGACATTTATGTGACGAACAACATCAAAACTGAATTAAGAAACAGTATGACAAACAGATTGGATTTAATAAAATGTGAAAGTTTTCATATAGATATGGCAGAATATGTGTTTTGATTAGAATCAAATTAGATAAAAATTTATTTGAGCTGTACTTTTGAAGCATCTATTTATTAAAAATTTTAGTCTAATATTTTCCTTCTCGAAATCGTAGAAAACAAGAAAAAAATATGAATATATGAAGAGTATGACCATCATGCCAGATAAAGTTCATTTTTTATGTTCGTGTTCACAATATGTGCACGGAAGTGGAAAACCAACGAAAAAGAAAATAACCTGTAAACAATGCAAGGGAATCAAATTACCGTTTACACCAATTGGAGGTACAGTCCGAGTGTTTTCAACCCCATATGTTTTGGATGCTGCTGTGACAAGAAATTGTTTTGGAACCGTACGATTTCCACCAACATGTGAAAATCAAAGACCAACAATTTTATGTAGAGAAAATGATCCATACAACTTTTTACGTCAATCACGCCTGTTAAGCATGGTAAAATTATCGCTGGACATTTACAAAATCATTTTATTATTAATGAAATCAATTAATTTATAATTTTAGGATCGAACGAACGATCAAAAATTACAACAATGTAATAAATTCCAAAAAAATAATGTGCATTTTGGGCCGAATCATATGTTTGTAAATCATTCAACACGAATTTTTGATTCATTATCTCCTTCGGAATATCATTATACTCGTCCAATATTTCAAACAACGATTAATCCATACGAGCTCATTTCATCTACTTTGCATAATAATGAATTTTCAACATCAAACTTATATAATATGAGAAAGAATAAAGCGACAGCTAATTATAATTCAGAATCAATCGTTCTTCAGAATCGTAATGATGCGTATAGTTTCAACAATTTGGACTTATTCTCCGATCAGAGAACAACTGCTGAACAAACAAAGACGACCTCATTTTTTCTTTCTTCACAGCCTCCGCCTACACCAGCCGTGGAATCCCTACCATTGTCAATAAAAGCGGTTCCAAACAAAATACTTAATAATTCGGAAGCAGGTTAGCAGATATTTTATCTGTTAAATATCATACAAGGCTGACTGATAATGACGTGATGAATGTAAAAATGGTATCGCTGATTGAAAATTACCATCCTTCATCTCTCTATATTTCACGGACCCAAAAGTTACAGAGTTTGAATGGAACCAGCCTTATTCATCACTTTATTTGAAACAGAAGCAATTATATTATTAAGGGGGGGTGATTTCATTTTTTTTGGAGATCACTTTTTCAGTGAAAAACCCTATTTCCAACTTATGTTGTATTCACTTTTTAAATCAAAAACCCTAGCAAATTCGAATAACTTCCGTGAAGAAAAAAAACACTACTTAAAACAACTTATTTCAGATGATAACCATGATTCCAATATATAAACACTGATCCCACTATTCCACTAATCCGTCATTTCATTGTCAAATATAATTTCACATTTTGCCGACACTGAAGTATGACATTTTGTTATAATTCATATTATTTTTTTCAACAATAATATTTTAAGAAAGTGATTTTATTGTTTTGTATTGTTTTGTAAATTAAAAAATATTACAAAGAACAAATTTTATCTCAAAGCAAATTCAATGCTTTAATGAAATTCTGTACTATTGACTACAAAAACATTGAATCTAACGAATTTTTGCTATTCCATACATGGGATTAAAGAATCCTATGTGAATCCAGCTACTGAATTGTCTATTTCATTTCAATTTCTCGATTTGTTACACTAAAAGTCTAATCCTATTCCACGTGTCTACAAAAACACAGTCCAAAAATACGATCTCAAACCTTCGTGGTTATACATGACCACTATACCTTAACTCAAAATGCACTCTATATAGCTCGCGAGCAAAAAACATTTGTTGTGGCAAATTCATCCATTATCGGGCATATGTTGACGGTTAATATTGGAGTCGGATTTGAGTGTAGTTTCAGTCATTTTCAACGTCGCAATGGAAAGAAAAAAGAGAAAAAATAAACTCAGTTAGTAAGTATGAATCAACATCAATATACTATCGGTTCAGTTCAACAAATGATACTCACCTACGGGTTATTTTATATACCGAACTGCCCGTACCTCGGTCAAGGCCACAAAACTCAAGCCCATCATCGAGAACATAAACGTAGTCCTCGTCGTCACTGGAATCCTCATCGTTAGCTGCTCGATTTTGTACGGCAGCATTTTAATTCTGTGGTCTCAATAGTTGCGGATGAATGTCCAATCCTAACACCGTACAAAGACCTGAAACCAAAATCGTAAACAACAAATTGTTAGCCTAAATATTTTTCAACATTTTTAATTTCAGTGATCTTTTTTCACCTTTGTACATGATGTTCTTGGCTGCAACGATATCCCGGTGCCAAACAGTTTTCAATTGAAATGGAGCTCGATCATCTTTCCAAATGCCAGTGTTTAGTTGCCAGTTTTTGAAACATACTTGAAGTTTTGACACTAAACCATCTGAATCCATTGGAATATGATCTGGGTTGGCTGCATTCAATCGATTAACAAAATCAACTGCATATTTACGCAATTGTTGGTACACTCGGTTGCTTTTCATGGTGATAATCACGTTCGGTAAATTCCATTGCGATGACTCATCTTCACTTGGAATACAATGCTGACAAACTTTGTAACGATCGCTTTTGGTTCGTCGATCGAATGGCCGGAAACATTTTGCACAAGTTTGCGATGTATTGTATTCGTCGAGCAATCGTACGATACAATTTCCCAACTTCTTGAAACTGTTCAATAGTTGTCGTAATCCCGGGCATCGCAATCGGTGGCGTTCCATGTACGAACTCCTGGATCGATTCCAAGCACATAATCAAACTCAAAATTATTGTACTTCTCTTTGATGGTGTTATCAAGTTCCGGTGTATTGCGTTCAGGCTTCACGAAACATAACGAAACTTCCACACTATCACTTGCCACAGCAAAATCGAATTCTTTACCATTTCCAAGTTTCAAAATTTTTGGCAGGTCAAATATTAAATCCCAATAGATAGCTGGATTGCTTTCGTATTCAGTTTTTTCAATGAATTCCAGTCCACGATTTCCTTTCCATCGGAAGTGGAGTGGTCGGTATGACATTGTTGTTCGGAACGCGTCGATATTGGAACCAGCGTTGTTTCAAAGGAGCTCTTAGATAATAGTAAATTTGTAATTTGACTATTTATCAATAGATGGCGACACATAAAATAGCAACTTCGAAACAGATACGCATTTCCTATATAGACACTCGCCCAAATGTCGGACTATTTGTTTGAATTTTCAACTTCAATTTAATATTTAACACTTTTGATTTCATCTAAAAATATCATTCTATACACAATTCTATGCAGAATTTAATTGTGCTTCATTTCACAATTGTCAAAAGAAAGAAATTTCCAAAAATATATTATTATTTTCCATTTTTCCGTCGTAACATCGAAAATTCCATATGTCGGATATTCGTCGTCCAATTCTCGGCTCCCAAATCCCGAAAAAAACTTTAAGTTTTGACAGCTCAGGAACGCATTCTTTACATTGAGGAAAACAATACAAAATATCGAAGTTGAAATTATTGGATTGATATATTTTTGCTGCATATTTAATTTTATTTATTTTTTTCACAATAAAATGGCAAAAATATTTAAAAATATTATGTTATAAGTAAAAAACACTTCTTTGGAAGTTCTCACTGTGATGCAATATATTGTATACTGCACATCAAATCTGAAAATGATCTGATATAAATTTTCAGTGACGCTTGCAATCAAATACACAAACAATTTTTATATTGCGTTGCCTCTCTCATTCTTAGAAAATTAAAAATGAAAATTTCATTGTGATAATGCCCAAGAGGCAACACAATATAAAAATTGTTTGTGTATTTGATTGCAAGCGTCACTGAAAATTTATATCAGATCATTTTCAGATTTGATGTGCAGTATAGCGTCACAGTGAGAACTTCCAAAGAAGTGTTTTTTACTTATATCATTTGTTTTAACATTAAATTTAATTTTTCTGTTTGAAATCTACAAAAAAATTTCGCTCGCTACGCCCGTGATTTCACTGATCTATAATATTTTTGGTTGAATTTCACAATGATACAAATACGACTTTAACTGTCACATCTGTCAAATGCAAAGTGTTTCACTTGAAACTTCAGTGCTTAATGTGTCGGCAATTGGACGATTTATTACGGAATAATATTACAGTGAAAAATGAAAAATAAATATAATTGTTTTTCTTTATATTTTCAATATTTCTGTTCAATAACTAAATTAAAGTATCTACAATTCGCAGACATATATTTTTTCCAAATTAGTTATTTCTTCATATAAAAAAATGCATTTTACCGGCTTGTCTCAAAATGACATAGTTTAACTTTTGACGTGAAGAAGTGATAAAAATATCGAATTTTTTTGAACGTAATTTGTGAAAGCAATAATAGATTTTTGATTAAAATTTGGATTATAATAAAGAGATTTGATATTGATCTTTCATAATTTACTTTTAAAAATGCAATTAAAATGAATTTTTAACTTTTAATTTCAATTCACCTCTCCGACATGTGTACTGTACTTCGATGCAGAATTTAATTGTGCTCCATTTCACATTTCTCAAAAGAAATATTTTCCAAAAATGTATTATTTTTTTCCATTTTTTCGTCGTAACATCGAAAATTCCAAATATTTAATTTTATTTATTTTCCCATAGTAAAATGGCAAAAATATTTTAAAATATTGTGTTTTTCCACTGATTTGGTTTGAATTTCACAATGATCCAAATACATACATAACTGTCACATCTGTCAAATCAAAAGTATTTCACTTGAAATGTTCGGCGCTTTATGCGGCTTTATGTGTCGGCAATTGGATTATTTATTCCGGAATAATAGTACAGTGAAAAATGGAACATAAATATAATTGCTTTTCTTTATATTTTCAATATTTCTGTTCAATAACTAAATTAAAGTATCTACAATTCGCAGATATAATTTTTTTTTCAAAGTAGTTATTTTTTCATACCAAAAAATGCATTTTACCGGCTCGTCTAAAAATGATATAGTTTAACTTTTGACGTAAAAAAGTGATAAAAATATAGAATTTTTTTTTGAACGTAATTTTTGAAAGCAGGAATAGATTTTTGATGAATATTTGGATTATTATATATAGATTTGATATTGATCATTCATAATTTGTTTTTAAAAATGCAATTAAAACGAATTTTCGATTTTTAATTTCAATTCACCTATCGGTATTCCGACATTTGGTCGTGTGTCGACATTTGGCAATCTACTGTACTTATCGTAAAAAATGTAATAAAAAATCGCGTGCCGAGAAAAATAGTAACAATAATTATTATACACTGGGTATAATACACAAATATTAATTTTTTCTCAGCACGCGATTTTTTATTACATTTTTTACGATAAGTATAGGAAATGCGTATTTGTTTCGAAGTTGCTATTTTATGTGTCGCCATCTATTGGTAAATAGTTGGAACTACTTTCTTACTAAAGTGTCATACAATTGCTAAGAGACCCTTTCATATTTCACGTGAAAATCGAAAATTTGTCGCTGAATGTTTATAAATATTGGGATGGTTTGAAACCAGCGATCACGAATGAGATTCTGGAAGTGTACATTGATTGGCAATCCAATGCCTGCTGCTTCGTTTAATAGAAGATCGATGTTCGCGTTTCTCTCGACTCTACTCTGGAACATTACGATCTTCGTCGCACGTTTTACATCCAATTCAGTGATGAGATTTCCTTGTCGATTCGAATTCAGTTCGTAGCGCTTTAGCGTGAAAAATTTCTTGATGCGATTGAATGCCCATACTCTGATGTTATTTTTCACGTTTGTTATGTACTGAGTGATGAGATGATTGAATGCGTTCCCCATGCCCTCGCGAGCTGGCCAATTTTCTGGACGAAGAAAATCAGGACATGCTTGCTCTACAGTTCGTCGAAATGCAAGCGGTAATTTGTGGTAATTTTCTTGTAATACCGAGATGAAACATTCACCAATTATACCATTCACGTATTTATTGAATTGATCATTCGTGTATTCATCGGATTCACCATTAAAAAATCGAACATTTTCATCGTCAAAGGCTTTGTTTGCTTTGAACAAAAACAGTAATGACGCCAGAGTCGTAATCATTGTGGCCGAAAGGCACCAGTATGTGACCTGATCGATGAACGGTGCACGATACTCTTCCCGCACCACTTGATTAAGAGTCATCTTCAACGACGTACTGCGCCCATTCTTGGCTCTCTTTCTTCTCATCGTGACAGATCTATCGTACAAAAAGTAAAGAAAAAAATACACCAAATATACCATAGATCACAAACACAATAAGATATAAACACTTCTATAACAAATTAAAGGAAACAGTAATGAAGAACGCATTATAAAGATCACCTCTTACCTCAACAAAGTGACTCTGTATTCTAAATCGAATGATGAAATTTATTTCCAACGTGACATCAAATATTTTGCCGATCGAAATGTTGTTGGAATATTCACAGTAAATTCTATCAACACTCTGTTATTTCGGAATTAAAACAAAGACAGTCACAAAACCAACTGTGAATATATCCATTCCACAGGGAACAGCATTCCGAACACACAAAATCGTTTTTGAAATGACAATAAAACCAATTGATCGCCCAAACTACGCTTCAAACATTCACATATAATTCTCAAGAAATCCTGTTGAAAACAAAACAAAGTTTTATTGTAAACAAAATCGGTTGGTGCGATAGTTGTTTATACTAACAATACTGTCACACAATGTGGGCACATTTTTAATACATATAAATGAATATCTTTGGATTTGGTTTGACACATATACACCGCGCCAATCGAAAAATGTCAGTTGCATTTCGAAAATTCAAAATAATAATTCCACAAATAAAGAAAATTTAATGCAATAAATGACGTATAAAAGAGTTCTTCTGCAGAGTTTAAAATTAAATTATGCATATCTCTTTCCGAATAAATTGTTTATTTTTTTATTTGAGCGGTAGATTTAGATTTTCAATTTAAAACTTAATGTATTGGGTTGTGTTCACATTATGTTGTCAAATGAAATATTATTGGAAGTGAAAGAAAAAAGTGGATCCATTCCATTGGAATTCGTGGAAACTATGCATATAATCTCCGTTGCATTTTACACGAAAATGACCACCAGAATGGGCCAAAACGTTACATTTTTCAACGTTAGAATGTACTTAAAACATTACAAATTTGTTCCACAGATACTATTAGTATTCTATGTTAGGAACTTGTTCAAACAAAATGACAATTCATATTTCTCATTGTAGAAGGTGCACTGAATTTAATCTCACAACGGAAATAAATATAAATTCCAATTATCCGCACCTAATTTATAAATTAATTAAAAAAAAAAAATAGCAGACAGGTGATTGTTTCTTGAATTCCAGTATCGTTCCAATTTAACCTAATAAAGTATGGTGGTTCACCTGAAAAGTCGATTGTATCCTACATCATGATTCTGCCATATTTTTTGCTGGCGCTAGGTTCCATTTTACGTGTCTGCGCTGAAACCCATGCCTTCGTTGTGCACACACAAATATTGGACTGATATAATGTGATGCTTGGGACCATTCTAGATAAATCACCAAAACGTTACAGTTTTTTAAAGCGATATCTTGAACTTTTTATCATTTCTTTAAAAACTGCCATTTCCGAGGTGTTCGTTTCCCCTGATTGTTTAACTACATCCGAAATCAATCGGGAACTTTTAAAATAACTCTAGTAAATAGGAGAAAGTCCAGGCATTACCACCAGGCTTAGTTCTGAATTTGTAGACGGATTTATTATACTGAATTGATGTTGAATGTTGATTCCACATTTCGCATTTCAAGCTCTGTAACTTTTAGGTCTGTGAACGGATCTGGTTCAAAGGTGAAATATAGAGGTTTAAAAGATGTTTAGTTTCAAAAATTATATCAATTTGGTACCAGCGTCACCTTACATATATCACGCCATTGTCAATCAGGCCAGTTCATAATAATAGGTGAAAGTGCATGCATGAAATCCTCATTATATTCTAATCAAAATGAATCTCTCCAAACAGTAAATACTATTCAAAAAGGCCTTAAAAAGATAATGAAAGAGACAAAATCAGTTCGTATTGAGAATGGGACGTTGTTAACAGGTCGATTCAAAAAAGTGCAATTTAATACATTACCAGAATTGACACGACCAAAAATATTAGCTGAGTTTCAGAAAGAGCGAGATTTTGACCTAAATCATTCTACACCTGAACACGACGATGTTCTCTCAAATGGACAAAAAAATCATACAGGTTTGAAGTGGTGGAATTTTATAAAAAATCTGAACCGCAATAATGTTGTTTTTTGAATAATGAAATACAATTTATTGATAACCTTTACGCTGTAATGCATAGTGTCGACCTAAAATTTATCCGCTGATATTTAAAACTAAGATTTGTCCGCCGAACAAAACTAATTAGTAGACGAATTTCGAGCGGACAGTTTAAATGAAACCTCAATAAATGAAATTATTTTAAGGTATGAAAACAACCAGCCAAAGAAGGAAGCCTGTAATGCGTTCAATGAGTGATCGGCGTGATAAGGATTCAAAGGCATATGCTTACTTCAAAGATACGACCGCGTTACGCACAAAACCACATCGAATAAGTCCACATCAACTTTTTCTGAAAACAAATAACACATTACGTCATAGACCCTCCTGTCCTCCACCAAGCTGCCCGAAAGATCAGCTTGCAAAAGTAAGGTCAAACTACAGAATCTTGTATTTGTTTTCTTTATTATACATTTTTTTAGAAGACAGAACAAATTATTCAAAATCAGAGCGCCCCTCAACGACCACCACGTCAGCAAAAACCTCAAAATAGTAAGTGATCTATTGTATATGCATTAACAAGAATTTCAAAAATTACATATAGTTATACAATTACAATTATACTACATACTATACATACTTTTTTAGAAAAATTATCAAATAAACCGAGATTGTTGGATGAAACCAAAGCTTCAAGAATCTTCGGTTTATTACCTGTGTCTAAAACCACCATTGAGCCATTTCCAAAAACAATGGGCTCACTGAATAAACAAAATAAACAGAAAACGTCAATTACAATAAATAGTGATGAATGTTCAACAGTAAATGTGAACGATCGTGTTAAACTGTATCACTCATCTGTTTTAATAAGAAGTGGCACGGACCCAGAAAACCAAAAAGAATTGGAAAAAAGCACACAAGATCTACCAAATTTTAAAAATGAAACAATGGGCAAAAACAATCAAATTTCACACAATGCAGCTATGTCTGATAAGACACCGACAGATTTAAATAAAACTAAAACATTAATTTACTTGGATGATACAAGTAATTCTCAAAACAAGAAAGTTGTGTCCGAAGAAAATGGATCATCTACAATGAAAAATAATGTTGATGATAGTGGATGTGATAGTAGTATCATTCAATCTAACTATTTTACAGACAGTTTTATACTGAAATTATTAAATGATCCATTCTTAAGTCATTTGCTATATGGTCTCGAAATTAAATCTATTGCGAATATAATAGAAAGTTCATTGATAAAAATGGGCACCAGCAAATACAGTTATAATTTTATTACTAGATTAACCAAAGACACTGATACAGATAAAATATTTGTTAAATATTTACACGAAATAATCAAAGAAGAGCGTTATCTATATGATTTGATGGAGGCTAAGTTGAATGATAAAGGACTTTGCGAGAAAAACAAAATAGTTCCGGATGTAAAGCTTCACGACATGCTCTCTGAACCAAAATGGTGGAAAAGTGGTGAATGTTTATTGAAATCTGACATACATCAATACGAATCTATCTGTTTTAACTGTGATCCCATCTACGAAGAAATCAACGAAAAGCCTCCGCCTTTGCCAACCAATCCTCCACCGATATTGGCCAATACATCTGATTATAAGCCAATGTTTTTGGGAGCAACAAAGTACGAAATTTTATCTTATTTAGTTGATGCAAAAGATCGAGTTCCAGAGGAGCCTTATACATTCAAATTTCTACGTCGTTCGACGAATGAAATGAAGTCCTTAGAAAAGGTACCTGAAGGCAATGGAAAAGCTATCATCAATATAAAACAGGTGACCCCACATAATGGAAGCGAAGTAAGATTATATGAAACTGATAAATTCATGACAAGCATTGAGCGAAATGATTCTGGTGTTGGATCTGAAACAAGTAAAACTTCAAGAACAAAGTATCAACCAGGCATTATAGAGAATAAAAAAAATCAACCAATACATTTATGCGAAGATTGCGGTGAGTAAACATATAAACACAGTAAGATCAAGGAATAAGTGAACCTCTATTTAACGAAATTCCAGTGTCTAACGAAAAAAATTCAATCGGTCAGTATATATACAAATTTGCCATCCAAAATTTTATATGATTTTGTTCTCCAACTGGATGGAGACATGGAGTAACAGAAAATTTTCAAATCAAATATATTTTTTACCTCTCAAACGCATCATAAGCCTCTAGTGCATAGCTCTGCTTTTAGGCGGGGTGTATGAATTATTGTCTAAAATATATAATTGATTATAAATTTTAAACGTGTAAACGTGCATAAAACACATCCAGAAAAGATCATCCTTTCATTTTATATACATTTGAAAATTGGTTTTTGGGTAGATACTTATCAAATAAAAAACCTCTATCGAGGTGAAGAACGAGTGACGAAACCAAAATTTGAAACACAACATTTTTGATATCAATTTTGTGACGAAAATAGTTGGTAGATATTTTTCTGTGTACTGTGAATATAAAATTAATATACATTTGTATATTCATAACGTTGCAGAAATTCCTTTCTTTTTACTTCGAGTTCATACTGACGCAATGAAGCAACGTTCCGAATTTACAAATGTATATAAAGTTTATATTCACAGTACACAGAAAAAATATCTACCAACTATTTTCGTCACAAAATTCTATTGGTGAGATCTAAAAAAACGCAAGTGTATTCGACTTTATCGCAATAAAGGAATGTAAGTTTTTTCATGGTTTAGAGTTTTTTTGCGCCAAATAAATTTTGAAAAAAGAAAGTATGTATTTCGGCTGAATCAGTTGTTGGAAAAGAGATGCATGTTTCAGTGTTTTCGTTTAGATAAAAGAACGTAAGTGTCTTTGTTCTGGAAACGGGCTTTAGTGGATCCTCAGGATCGTTCAGAACCGCTCCTAGTTCCCGATAATCTATACATTATTTGCCTGTGTGTGGAAGTGGATTTTTCAAGAATTTGAATCTTTTTCAAATACAATGAAGATATGAATTTTTTTTTGTTATTTTTGGATCAAAATGATATAAAATATGGTTCATAATGGGGAAAAGTGTTTTTTTTTTTGTGGTGTGGTATGCATATTTTTTTATCTTTGACTTGGGGCTTAAATTGATGAAATTTTCAAAAGAACATATGTAGTCTTTTTCGAGAAAATGTCCGTTATGTGTCCGACCAGACGGCCACATTTTGGTTTTTGGCCAGTTTACAATGATATTCATATGTTGAGGCGCCACAGTGACCGTATGAAAAAGATTGCCATTTTTGGCCACATTTTCACTCTCGAAGGCCATATCTTGAAAACAAGATATTTCCTGGATATGAGCTATGCGGCGTTTTATAGCTTAGATTTTGGCCTAAAATTGGTGAAATTTTCAATGCAGCAACTTAGGCTGGTTTTCGAGGTAATAGCCGTTATGTATCCGACCGAACGGTAACTTTTTGGTTTTTGGCCAATTTGGCCACTCTACCTTGAAATTTTTGAACCGCAAATGGCACCATAGCACACTTCAAGACCTTTCCAACGAGATGCATATGTCCGGGGTGTGTCACATGCAGACAACCCGGTGACCGTGGGGACAAAAGTCAAAAAGTGACTTTTGGAGGCCCGCCACGGCCAACAATGCGGCCAAATCGAAAAGTTCCGGAACAAAAAAGTCTTAGTTTTTTGTGTACTTTAATCACAGAAAGTTTCAAAAAGATCAAACACAACTACGCAAAATTGCGCACAGACACACAGACATAGAGATTCATATGAAAGAATGACTGTGAAATTATAACAGTTTTTTGTACCATACTACCATTTTTATATGAACTGCTCCACTCGCATTTATTCTACATTTGTGAACAGCTTTTATTGGGCTGCAGCTTTGAATGTTAATTAGATACGAGTGGAGAAATGGTATAAAGCATTGAGTTATTCTTTTTCAATAGTACCTTACTGTATAGTTCAGTAATTTTTGGTGTAGGGCGGCGCCACCGTATGTACTGTACATAGAAATTTACATTTAAACTAACGCCATCTAACGTGTTTGATAATTTTTTCCCCCAAAAAAGTGGCACTATAACCCGTATTTGTTCTTTTTGCTGAATTTTTCGAAGTAATTGATCGATTTCGACGGTTAGGGGATCGTTGGAAAGATACTGAGCTCTAGAATCTGAATATCGATGTTTCAGGGTTCAACGATCTCATTTAGTGCCATCTATGGCCGTAGAACTGAATTTTTGATCCTTTTCTTTCCAACCATACATCAATCGGGGCCAAAGGCTTTCTCAGTCTGGATATCGTATATTTCGTGTATATATAGCGAGTTCGACTTTTCAACATACTAATGTGGTTTCGTCACTGACGCGAACTGCCGTCCGAATGAATTATTATACAAACTCACAAGCATTTTTGAAACATTTCTGAACTAATTCATCCTCATTTGCGGAAATTTTTGTTCACATAATTTGAAGTATTTTCTTTCGATATTAAAGGAATACTTTATTTTTTTCACATGTGACAATGTCACTTATCAGTCTCGTGTACCCCGCCTAAAGCTATACAAATCGATCAAATTTCAATTTTTATTCTTGGAATTTCAAACGACATTATTATATTATGCTGAATATTCATTTGAAATTAAACGAAATAGTCAGCTATTTGGAACATTTCAATTTTGTGATAATAATAATTTGAACGCTCTAGAATAAAAACAACGTACTGAATGGTTGATATATCAAAGCGGAACACGGCATTTTTTTAACATAGATTTGTTGTTGTAATAATGTGGGATGTATCTCTTCTTTCACTACAGTGAAAGCATCCACTTGGATGAAATTAACACAAAAAATAGAGTAAAATAGAGTGCGTAACACATTTTGAGGGGAAGACTCTCTGCTAACACCGCAAGTGCGAGTAAGCATACTCGAATATTTCAAATATGAAATATCTAACTCGAATATATAATATTCAATTATTTTTTTATTATTGATTTCTGGCATATAGTCACAATGACCACTTTTTCATAGGCCAGTCCTTTTTTTGTCAATTTTTTTGATCATACTAGATTCTATAATGTTTGAAATGGGTTTGAAAAAAAGAAATTCTGGTACATTTGAAGACATGGTAAATCAGTGAAAGTCCTGAATTCTTCATTTCAATACAAAAAATGACACTTTAGTCGACTGAAAGTGACATTTTATACGCCGTCGGAATATTTGAGACATTTTTCTTGAAATTTCTCCTGGTGTCAACATTACGACCATGAATGTCATGACCAAGGGGAATGTCAAAAAGAACGTACTAGAATTATATAATTTGGAATAGGTCGTAATAGGTTGAAATAGTTTGGAATAAGCGGTAACGTAAATGTCAACAAATACACTGTACTGTCCACAGAAACATTAGGTTTTTAATTCAGTCGTCGGCACCGAAACATTTCAATATTTTTGTGAATTTTTTTTGTATAATTTAAATAAATATATTAAACATTTACAACAAAAAGTATATTTACAAAAATATTGAAATGTTTCTGACTGAATTGAAAACTCAATGTTTCTGTCACCATATCGGCGTATTTGTTGACATTTATATTACCACTAATTCCAAACTATTCCAACCTATTCCGAATGACATAATTCTAGTACGTTCTTTGTGAAATTCCCCTTGTTCATGACTGTTTGCCTTCAAATATTGTCAGTCATCCTCCGGAGCCATTTTAGTTTCAATAAAAAATCAAAATTTGCCAAACAGTGGCTTAAACGATCGATTTGTCGAAAAGACTTGATTTTAAAGCAAATTATCACAGGGTGGTTGACCGTCTTCTTCGTGCAATCTGATGACCCTGGAATATTTTTTAGCAGCAAATTGAAGTGTATGGTCCATAAGCTAACAACGATTAAGCACTTCTAAGGCTAATATTCATCGCGTTATTCTCGAGTTATTGCCACTGCAGTGATGTCTGAAAACGTCCGAAAAATTGGCCAAAAATGGACTGACCGACTATGTAAAAAGTGGCCATGGACTATATGCCAGAAATCTTTTACATAAATTTCAGAGGTTTTTCTACCAAGTAAAGCGATTTTTACTATTATAATAAAAAAATATATATGATTTATATCAATTTGAAATCCTCAACCTCTTAAAAAAAACACCCTTTACATATATTCCGCGGGGTTCGCTTATGACGAAAATGAGTGTGTTTTGTATTATAATATTTTTTTAACCAATTTTTAGATGAAGCTGTTGAATTGCATTTCTATGGAGCACCAGATATTTACTTGCCAATCGTTTGTAGAAATTGCAGTAAGAAACGTACTGAACGTCGAGAAATTCTTTGGGAATTCATTGAAACGGAAAAAAAATACACACGCGACTTGCAAATTATAATTGATGAGTTTTATCGTCCAATGTTAGTGGCTGGCTTACTTACGCAAAATCAACTTTCAGCAATTTTTTTGAATATTGAAGAATTGCTTCAAAATAGCGAATCATTCTGTAGAAAAATAAGAGATGCTCTTGATACAGCAAACGATCAAGGCGACGATGATCTGTTCACTGTCGATATTGGAAAAATAATCTTGGAAACATCATCTATGCTCTCGGCATTTGAAACCTATTGTGTACAGCAGGCAGCTTCTAGTGAGTTGAATATTATTTATTACCAGCAACAAACTAACTAACATCTATCTTGAATGTCATTGTATGTCACACAGCAGCGATCTCTATCAGCGGCCAATCGACAAAAAGTGGAAACTAAGTCGAGCATACAAAGTTATCCTCAATGAAAGATATTTTAAAAGATTAATATTGCCGCCAGTAGAGTTCGCTTCGAATCTGTGTTGTTGTTGTTTTATGTGTAAAATCATTGACATTTATGAACGGCGAATGACTAATCCAAACCCAATTATATTTTGGGAGCATGCGGTATTTTTGTTAAACTGGGCAGTAATATAATATCCAAAATTTATCAAAAAAATGTTGTCCTCTGTTAAAATATTAAAGAGAAAGAGAGTTCATGGACCAAAATAAAACTCACTGAGAAGACAACATCTTTATAGAGACTGTGGCTACAGTAAAAGTATAATTTGAAAATAACAGGTCTTTCAATAAGTCCTGGGACTAACACATAGATAGAGTGAATTCGACCAGTTTCATTTTACACTAGATTATTTACATTCAGTTTTTTCTGTTCAGTATCTCTTCGGAGCGGTATCTCGAATTGGTTTGTATGGCGATGTGTGTGTACGTGAATAACGATGCTTTGTACAACGTTTCTGCTATGTATTTTCGGAACGTTCCGCTTGTTCCGGTTCGTTCAATATACAAGTGAAACCAATGAAATGGTTTGGTTTCGGTTCACCTCTCTGAAATATAATAACCTTTTATCAGATTCCAATCGCTAAGATGTCAAAGATTGAAAATTTCCAAGAACAAGAATATTATCACAAGTGCACCCAAAATATATAATCGCTCTCTGTTGCATCAATAAATTTGGTTTTTACGCTGCACATTTTTATATTGGGTTTCCATGCGATGGCCATTGACAACAATTTTTATTGCGCAGTAGATTTTGTTTTAATATTTTGCTTTCCCTCAGGATTTCTTTTAATCCATATGGATTTTTAATATAGAAAAATCCTAAAAGTATACAATTTAGTCCGACTGGGCACACAGTGTAAAGTAAAAAAGATACAAAGTCATCATTCAAAGTTCAAACTGAGAGTTAAAGTATTCAACACTTCAGACGGCGTGGTTGTGCGCCAGCAGTGTTGACCTCGGATTTCATCCGAATGGGAAAATCCAGTAGAAACTCCAATTTTTATTACCTCTTCGGGTAAAAAAATCATCGATGAATCAAGACATTTCTAAAGATTCGGTTTTGGATTATGATAAAAGATCGGCCAATGATGAAAATGCTTTTTCTTCTTAGCAATCTTTGACAAATCGAAGTTTTATTATGATACACTATGCACAGAAACAAATATTCGAGTACGCTTACTCGCACTTGCGGTGTTAGCACAGAGTCTACCCCTCAAAATGAGTTACGCACTCTATTTTACTCTATTTTTTGTGTTAATTTCATCCAAGTGAACGCATCGTAGTGAAAAAAGAGATACATCTGTAGTCATATGTACGTTGAACGCATGCGGCTATACACATGTATTTCTTCTTTCACTATGATGTGTTAACTTGGATGAAATTAACACCAAAAATAGAGTACGTTACTCATTTTGAAGGGTAGACTCTCTGCTAACACCGCAAGTGCGAGTAACCGTACTCGATTTTTTATTTCTGTGTGGTGTTGGTGATTATTCAAGAAATTATTTTCAGGAACTTTTCACATTCGCGACTGAAAATAAAAAGGAAAGAGTTCTTAGAGTGAACGATAACTTTAACTACGTTACAAGACAATATCAATTTTTATTCCGTTTTCATTTCATTATTGGATCAAGAATGTTTGAAATAAAAACTTATTTTATTAAAAAATCAAAAACAAAATATTTACGCTGATCGAAAATTATATAAATTACGCTTTGTCTTATAATAAGTACTTTTATCGATCAAGCCAATTTCCGCATTGAACCCCGTTTTCTCCATATATTCAAGATTCTTTGTATTTGTGCCACCATACCAGTGACTGTCGTAAATCCTGGTGTAAATAAAAATTGAACGCCGTTCGGCCTTTAAATCTAAACCAGTTTATTTCATATTAATAATACGTTCATCATTTTTTTTATAAAAAGGCTGAATCATCACGAAATGTAATTGATTGGATTATTGGGTTTGGACGGGGAGCATACTCTAGGTCTACTTTTCAGACTAGGTCTACTTTTCACTAATATCCATATCCATCTCGTTGCTCAGGTTTTATTAACCTATTGCAAGCCGCTCGTTTGAGTTATGGTGCCAATCGACCGCCGGGATCCATCTGTTCGACAGTGTCTTCTCTGACCTTGCTGTTCAGCTGGGCCCTTCGTGACTGAGTTTCTCTATTCAATGTAGGAATGCTACCACCAATGATTTACCGGTATTTTCACGAATAGTTCAGCACTACCTTTTTACGGTTGACGTATTGGATATTTGGCATATCCAAGACACCAACCTAACGCGAAGGCACTCCATTTTACGTGTGTCTATACTGAGCCCATATTTTCGTTGTGCACACACACGGGACCGACGGCTTTAAGTGCCCTCCGAAGCACTCCACTAGCCCGAAACCCATCCAAATCTATTCCGCATTCAACCACTGAGCGAATAACGGTGGAAAACTACCGGACCAAATAAAATTTTGCGTATAGCACACAGGGTATCAAGCACATACATTACGAACACGTTATAAAAAGTTTATATTGGATTATTGGATTAAAACGGGGTGTGTACTAATTACAATCAATATAATATAGATTCTTTTTGTTCAAGTGTCATAACTTACTGCAAGACGGGTGTGTGTGTACTGAAATACACGAAAATGGTCTTTTATCGAAAAACATTTCTGAGGCATGGATTCTCATCGCATTTAGAAATCTTTACCAACTTGAATAATTTCGGGTCATGAATCATCGGGTAGGATCGGCCAGCCCGTGAATCCGACCCAAATAGTATCCAGCATTGGATATCTGTCAATGAGATGTGCAGTGTTTTCCACGTCTCCACCACACAGTCTACAATCAGGGACGATTTAAGAGGCGGTTATCCGGGCTTACACACCCCCTGTGCCCATGTTTGATAGCTTTATTATACTGATTTATTATATTCGCAGCAACGAAACGACAACAACAATAACACGTATTTTTAATGTCAACAAAGTTTTTTTTTATCATCTGAGGTTTTTCTCTAATGTCATAATTTAAACTATTTTATTCTGAAAAAAATCCCATGCATGATAATAATCTTTATAATAGTTTTTTTCTTTTTTACATAATATTTCTTAATTTCTTGATTGATTTAACAATATTCAAAATATTTTTGTATATTTTTTTAGGTTTATTGCTTGCCAATTTAGAAAAAGACAAAGAGCTACTGAAAATTTTTTTGCGTGTCTCTCAAATGGAAAATTCTGTTTTACGTCGAATGAACCTAAATTCATTTTTGATGGTAATCTTACTACTAAACGTTCTGAGTTGTAAGCAAAAGTTTGAGAAATGTTGTTATCGAAAAAAGTATCAAGTTAACCAATAGTCAATGAGATTACCGAAAGATAGTTTTATCAAACTAAAAAACAGCACTTTACACACAAAAAACACCTAACCTCAATATGAGACGATTTGACATAAAATTCTGTTTATCCGAAGTCTCATTTATTTTTGAATAAATTTTAGTAAACAATTTTTTTTTTCAATTATTTGTGCGTTATACCGAGTCTCCGAGAGTTTCTCCCGTAGGGGGTGTAACACCTATAGATTCCGACTCCCAGAACACTTTGGACCAGGTCGGATCCACCTGCTCCACAATATTAGCTTCCAGCTCATGACATCTGAAATATTGGGTTCCTTGGAACTACCAATGATCATATCTGACCCCATATCAATATATGGAAACAATTTTTTTTCCAAATGTCATGTCTTGAACCCCTCTGTTACATGCAGCATTTTGAAAGAAAAAAAAATTTGCTGATCCGTGGATGTTTTTTCACACAAAAATTTAAATCACATAATTTTTCATATAAAATGTACGTGGGTCTGGCCAGAATCATGTGGCATGAATACGATGTATACATCAACATGTCCTTATAATAATCCTTGTGTCCTTTGTCGTCCTGATTTTTTATGTTGATGTATACATTGGATACATTTATCAAATCGAGTTTCACAACTGTTCAAGTACTGTTGGCTACGAACGTTCGTTCGTTCGTTCGTAGAAATTTAAAAATAAAATTGTGTTCGTT